ACACACAAGGCAGCAAACTGTAACCCCTCTGAAAAGCACCCCACTCTCACTGCACAGCAGACATAAACCACCAGAGATGACTTTTAGCATCTTTCCCAGGTGTTATTTTGCAAGCAACGAATAACTCAAACAAATGAGTTGCAAAAACATGGTGTGGGTGTTTCATTATCCCTCATCCATATTCATTGGAGCCACAGTGCTCATGGCTGATCCTTTTAAGGCACCAAACCAACGATTCCAGCACACTGCACATGGTTCAGTTACAAAACCTACTTTTCCAATAAAGGAATAAAAATCACGCTGGGAAATTTTAATAGATTTCATGAAAACTCATAAAATTGTTGTCTCAAAAAGTTTAAAATAGAATTTGCTTTATAAGAAACACTGGAAGCAACTCGCACATATACATTAAAGCTTTGTTTTTAAATATATCACTGGTAATAAAATACTATACCGGATCCGTATAAATCTAATTTCTGATTAATTTTGGGTGAGCGGTCTTGACCCTGAAGTGGTTACCATATTTATTACTTGAGCCTGGTGCATTATGTAGGAATGAAGTAAGCATGACATCATGTGGTCAAATTTGGGTACTGCAGTCAATTTTTATAAACAAAAGGTAAATTTCTCACTACAGTTCATTGAGTTTCATGGCTGTTGGCAGTTATGGATCAGCACCAGAAGATTCTGGATCACAGATGAAGACGAGTCATTCACAGCAAGTTGATAAGCAAATAAATACATTGTTATATCTGGTGTTTGCACTCTTGGGTGTTTTACGGTAGGGCACACTTTCTACACTTATTACTGTAATATGCTTCCAGCTTTAGAAGAGTTTGTCATGTTGCTGTTATAGTTCTGAATGACTCATTAAATAAAAGATCATACCACCATTGACTCATTGTGCTGGTGAAGGTTCTCAGTCATCCAGGTCATGATAATCCCAAAGGGTTCAAATGAAGGCAACTGGACTTCTTTGGTTTCTTGAAAACATTTCGAGACGAACCTACTCTGGGTACCCCTAGTTTTAGCTCATCAAATACAATAGACAGCTACAGCTTAGAAGCTTGACTCTCTCATATTCCAGTTAGAATTGACAAAGATCCTTGGATGAGAAGCAAAACGTGTTCAAGAAACCAAAGAAGTCCAGTTACCTTCATTTGAACTCTGAATTGACTCATTATTCACTTCACCGACATTTCACTGGCATATCAAGTTGTTGGTGTTTGAAAAGGTACATTTTTAGAGTTTACTATTTGCTTCTAAATCATCGTTAGCATCTTTAGCTCAGCATTAGTTTCTAGCCTGCTTTACCTGATATTCCAACACATTCTCACACCCAAAGCATCTAAAACTGACGAAGGATGACCAAGCGTTTCGTTGTGACGCGTTGGGAGCCCCAAAGCATCGGGAGGCATCGCGCTGTGCCAGAGCGTCTCTGTCTGATGCCCGCAGTAAAACGTAGATTTTAGTGAACTGTGACCTTTACTCTCTTGCCATTTACCCTTTCCCTCACCACCATCCTAACCTCAACCCTCTTGCACATGCAAAACTTTGTTTCTTGTTGTATCGTTCCTCTCAAACATGTTAACGGGAAATTTAGAATGAGAAACTGGGTTAAGGTTAGGATGGGGATGAGGGGAAGGTTAAATCAGTAGAGGTTAAAGGTTAAATGTCAGTGAAATCTCCGTTTCACCGCGGGCGTCGGAAAGAGACGCTTGGTCACTTTTCGTCAGTTTTAGATGATTTGGGTGTGAGAATGTGTTGGATATTAGCGTAAAACAAAAATATGTCGTGGCTTCTTGGGTGTACAAGAAATAACTTCTGGGTCGCTCCTGTTTATTGGCTTTGGTTCTTTAAACAACTTTGGAGCTTTTTGCCTGCCGGTGTCGAAATGCTGGTTCTGCAGCGTTAGCTTGGTGCAGACTTGGCAACCTCACAGATTGTAAACAGTAACAACATCCTTCTTTTGTTTGTTTTTTTAAAGGAGAAAATCTGGCGACCCCCAGCTGGTTGAGAATGAAATTTGTTTCAATATAACCTTCTTTCCAACATGACTGAAACATTAGCCTGTATTCTGATTATTTCGCTGTGTACTCCATACATATTGCTCCTTTAAATTGGTTTATGTGTTTCACTCCACGGTTTGTTCTTTTAATGTTAGAAGTTGATTAAGTTAGAAATCCCAACAACATCTGAGTTTCCTCTGCTTTCTAATTTATCTACTATCAGTGATTTGTTAATTTAAAAAAAAACTAACTGTGAGGTAGTAAGTATAAACATAACAATTGTTATTCACATTTACTTTTGTCCTAAACTAAGACCAACATGAAAACAAACCTGGTTTCATTATAAAAATTCTCTTTTTTATGAGAAAAGATTCAGAGCAGTTTTGAGTTGTTTATTATATTAAGGACAGTAAATCAATCAATCAGCTGTAATAATAACAAACAGTTTGCTTAAGCAATTGTTTTTCATGGCGCAATAAAAGCTGAAGCTGAGTTACTTTGGAGGGTTTTGTGTATTTTGAGCATTTTATGGCTTTAGGTCAGAAAATCCTAAAACTTTAATTTGTAAATTATCTTCTTCGTGCCATTGATCATGTCAATCCCATGGTGCAAACCTTGGGCATCTCAGTATAAATAATAGAAATCAACCCTAACCCTCGTAGAGAAGCTGCTGGGCCTTAATGTGGTAGCATGCATTATAGTAAGAAGGTTTGCAGGGTGCAGACTGCAGGGACTGAGGGAACATTGATTTGCAAGGACAATGATGGAGAAGATAGTGAATGTTAATAGGACTATTGAGCTAATCTATAATTCATACCAACACAAACAACAGAGGGATGGTGCTGTTATCTGCAGAAGATGGAGGGGTGTCTCGTTAATGTTCAGGAAAATAAATCCTTTTGTGTTTGTAACTTATGTCCAAAGTGTGAGCACGTCAGGGCCATATGTCGATGGTCAGGGCTCTATCCAACAGAGATCATGTCTTTGTTTTATGTTGTTGTGTTTTTCATTTTGCCCTGGAAGAAATCCCCGAAGGCTCTTTCACTTAATTAACATCACAATTTATTGCTTCATGCATGAATTACGGTGTGTGTGTGTTCTGTTTGTTTGTGCAAATTGTGTGTGAAAGCTATCCTGATGACTCCATTTTTTGAAGTTGTTTGTGAGTTTGGCTGTGATCTGTGCGTTAAAATCGGTTTTAAGTTTACTCTAGAGCACATCAGTACTAAGTGTTCTTGCAGGGACAGGAAGTGTGTGTCCATGCGTGTGAATATCCATGAAGTGTTTGATGTTGTGTGTTTTTAACCTAACACAAGTGCAGAGCAAATCCCTAAGTGAGAGGCTCATCAACTCCTCCTTCCACTTTATTAGCATCATCCAGGAGTATTAAACCTCAGCACTCGCTCCATTCCTTCCCCGCTTTGACACAAACGCACTCCGTGTACGACTACATAGCGAGCAGAGATCAAAGTTAGGTCTTAAAGATAATCCCACATAATCCAGACACAAGCTGCTATACTGTAAATACAGTAGATGAACAAAGGAATCACAACTATGTGTTTGGCTGAGAATGACAATGATGTGGGGGGGCACATCCTGGAAACAAGCAGCAAAGTCGTGTTTGCCTAGCAATGATTTCACCAACTCCATCAAATTGGCATGGATGAACCATCTAATAAAGGTTGAAAAAGTGTGTCAGCAGTGATGCATTTTCTTCAGATTTCCCAGAATGCATCTGGGCGATACACTTTGGCCATGGAAAATGCATGTGCTATTTTAAAGCAAGGGGGAAGCTCTGCCTGCCAGAAGTGAAGCCAAACCAGTGACAAAAATGGCAGTTCTCCCCTCATCCACTAGGGGCTGGCGCTATCAGGAGAAGGTTCCCATTGACTCCCATGTTAAAAAATATCACGACAGAAATAAACATGTTAATAATAATTTTACAGTTCAGTTGAAGTTTAATTTATTTACTGTGATGGCCACCAGTGTTGCTCGTGTGCCTACCAAAACAAAGACAGCGTTTTATGTTGATATGGCTGGGTTTTGATATTTTCCACCACATGCTGAATTCATCTTCTTTTCACTTAATTAAATAAGTTAATGAATAAATAAACATCTTCTTTTTTCCTTTTCCTTTTGCTTTTTGTGAGTACAAAGTTGTATCTCTCATCCAGGCATCATGACCTGTCGGTCTCACCTTGCTACGATAATTGGAGATTAAGGCCCTGTCCAAACGTAGCTGGGGATCTGCCAAAACGTAGATATTTTTCTACGTTTTGGCCTGTCATCCACATGAAAACGGAGTTTTTTCACACGAAAATAGATCTTTTTAAAAACTTCGGCCAAAGTGAAGATCTGCGTTTTCTCTGTTTTGGGTGTCTGCATGTGGACAGACAAAACCGGAGTTTTAAGGTCCGCAACGTCACTTTCCGCGACAAAAAATGCTGACATCACGTGTGCGACCTGTGTTTACACTAGCCGACAGCATGGATGCCCTCAGAGCTGCGCTCGCTTTATCAATTGTCCAAGCGCTTTCTGCTTGTTTGTTTTTGCAAGCGGAATTACTGCTCCTTGCGGAAGACCGCAGACGAAGGACGAGGTTAAGAACGGGGAAGTACTGCCGCCTACAGGTCTGGCATGTCCTTAACAACGTATTTATCCGGGTACATGTGGACAGAGTTTTGTATTAAAACGAGGTGGTGTGGATGCACGTTTTTGGAGGGGTGGATATTCATTTTTTTTAAAAACCTGACTACGTGTGGACTAGGCCTCAGAGTTTCAGCAACAAATTCCATCTGGCTACCCATCACAAAAACTCCTTTTTCTTATTCTTCTTAGCTAAGCCATGCTTTACTTTCACTGCGCTCATTCATTTCTTAGGTTATCAATATTAAGTTAATCACATCATAGCGTATATATCGAAGGCTGCAAATATCTTCCACATGTCCCCAGAGGACCATTTTCCCACGTGCACATCGGGGCCTGACCTACCTCAGTAAGGTGAGGGTTGGGGTTGAATCCACACTGGTTGCACACCGTGGCCTTACACTGGGTGCAGGTGTTGTAGTTGGGTACAGCCGGGGGGTTGGACAGCTCGGTGGTGGTGCACACCGGACACAGTTTGCTGCTCGGCATGGGAGCGATCTGTGGCAGGGAGTAGGGTGAGGTGGGTGTCACACCGCGGTCAGGGGACACAGAGGGAGACCGGCCTGTGCGAGAGCCACTTGAACTGCTGAAGTCTACCTGGAGGTTTCGACGGGAGGCATGCTGACCGGGACTTTGACCCCCGTGGCCTCCCATGCCGGACCCAGCTGGAGCGTGACCCATCCCGTGTCCAGATCCCGGGCCCTGCCCCATGCCAGACCCCTGGCTGGCCTGCATGTGTCGAGGGGAGGTCGGGCTGTCGTGAGCGGCCAGCCGGTATGGTTCTCCAGCTCTGGACCCTATTCCCCCACCAGTACCCATGCCTGCTCCCATTCCCCCCATCCCTCCTCCACCCATTCCTCCTCCACCCATCCCACCCATCCCTCCTCCACCCATTCCTCCTCCTGCCATTCCACCCATTCCTCCTCCTCCATGCCCTCCTTGTTGCACGCCTGGTTTGGGACTCCCCATCGGACCCCTGGAACAGAAGACAAGCAAAACAAAGCCGCTGTTAATGATCATGAAATGTTGCTTTGAGAGCAGCAGGGAAAGATTTTGACAGTGAGTGACAGTTAGTTAACTTTAGTTCATAAACAAAACAAGATCATTTCAGGAAGCTTCAGTTTGGGCAGCAATGTTCGTTTCCTCTTTCAGAAATCAGCCTTTTTGAAATTAAAATGAGTAATAATCAAAACCTTTAACAAAATAAAAGAATAAAAACATTTCATCCAATTAATCAATGCACGAAATTCCAGTTTTAAAGTGAAAAATGATTTATTTCCTTTCCAAACTTTTAAATACAGACTATTTCCCCCTTCCAGTCTTTTTCATTGTCTAACTTTCAATTTTCTTTTCAGCCGGGGCTAATAACAGCCATCTTCCACTGCTTTCCTTTCCTTTTCCTGATTGAATCACTTCTTTTTTAAGCTCCTGGCATTTTTCATTCCCACTCTTATAGGGTAAGTGGACCGCCGCTGACCCTGTTTGTCGTTCTCACACCACATCTAGCCCTCAAAGTCGCATCTGGTCCTTGTGCCATTCCTGCACTTTAAAAGCACTGTCGTAACTAAAACATCTGTCTAGTTTATAAATAGTTTATTAATAAAATCTAAAAAAATCAGTTGCATAATTTGGCAGAATTTGAAATCACTCCTTATTTGTTACGCCACGTGGCCCGACCAGTATTTTAGTTCTAAATCTGTTGGTTGATTTGGTTTACCAGGTTTCACCCTCAGATGAGAATGTTCCTTATTCCACCTCCAGACCTGCAGCAAAACAAGTCCATTTAGGTTAGTGGTGAATCCAAACCAAACATCTATTTCTTGCACCTCCTCCATTCCCACTATGCCTCTGTTTCTCCCCACTCAGGGCTGCTGACAGAATTGCTTTTGTACGGACCATTTATTTCCATCTGCCTCTCCTGCCTTCATTCTCTCCACCTCACCTCCCATTATTTCTCTGTTCCTTTCCCTTTCTCCTCTTTTCTCACTGCGTCTGAGAGCTACACACACACCACACAAATCGTTAAATCCACTCAAAAGGAAAATTATATCTATAGGGTTTTCACCGAAAAAAATCGTAGGCATGCTGATTGAAATCTTTGCAGATTCAACAAAGTCCCAACAGAAATTTCCTTTGAAACGTTGCTTTTTTACAAGTCTGTTTTGGAGCAGACATCATGTGCTATTTTAACATTACACGGACAAAGGCACAAACGGAAATGGGCATAGAGCGCTCTTCTGAACAGCCTCAGTTTGAGAAAATGTAGATTAGACAGGCAAGCTTATAGCTAGTCACAGTGGGAGTAGCTGCATGGTGGCGCAGTGGTTAGCACTGTTGCCTCGCAGCACGAAGGTTGCAGGTTGGAAACTCGGCTCGGCTGCGGCCTTTCTGCGTGGAGTTGCGTGTTCTCCCCATGCATGCGTGGGTTTCCTCCGGGTATTCCGGTTTCCCCCACAGACCACAACATGCCCTATAGGTTATAAATTGTAAGTCGCTTTGAATAAAAGCGTCTGCCAAATAAATAAACATAAACATAAAGGGGATTCTTCTTTTTTAAAAATATCTGTAACCAAAAAGAATTGCATTTATTCTGTCTAAAATGGTATGATCTCATAACCAGAGCCACACACTCAGCTGGAAGTGTGAGAGTCAGCTAGCTCCATTGCTAATTTCTGTTCCTATTAATATAATTATTTTTTGTATCTGCAAAAAATGTTTAATGTAATATTTGTTTTGTGTTTTGGTGCTTTTTGGTTCTGAACCTACATTGACAACCAGGCCCGTTGCAACAAGGCAATTGTCTGGGGGCCCTGAGTTGGCCAGGGGCCTCCAGACAATGGCTGTTTAATAAATAAGCACAACTGTGAAAGCTCAGTATGCTGCCCCTTTAATAGTTTAATAGGGAGATTTTAATACACATTTGTTTATGTTTTTTTAATGGGATAGTGGTGAGGTTGTTGCAAATGTTCAAATGTAAACATTACCAAAGGTGCAGCATTATAGGTGCAGTAAGCATATGTAAACAGTGTCTTCACTGTCCCAACTCTACTTAATTTATATAACGTTTAGGTGAACGTAATGTGTCTATGCTGTGGATCCTTTAAGTACAAGGGGTGGGAGCCCCCGCCATGTTGATTTAGCTTTGGACCCTCAAATGTCTTGAAACGGCTCTGGTGACAATGCAAATCCTCTCAGAACTCATTTGTTTCTCTGCAACAGGGGCGGATTAAGGACTGAAGAACATCCCGGGCTTAACACACACACACACACACGCACGCGCGCGCACACACACACACACACACACACGCACGCATGCATGCACGCACACACACACACACGTGACTCTCACTAGTCAACATCATATATGTCTTGTACCACATAATTTTTAATCTGAAGCTACACATTAAGCATATTCAGGGCAGAGTATTGTTCCTGTTAGTGTTTAGTGTGAGACGATAGTAAATATTCCCTTTCTTTCTCCAACCACGTTACCTGATAGTAAGCTAACTTTAGGCAAACCAGCAGCACAACAAATATTTTCAAATTAGACTCACAAACCTGAGTCAACACCAGTCTCATCAAAGCTGGGGTTCTGTCGTTGTACTTTTGGTCTAAAAAACGTCCTTATGTCCATCTTCACTCATGCGTTTCAGGCAGAGTGTAGAAGAAGCCGGCTGCTGAAGGGCTTCTTCTTCAGTGGTGGAGGCTCAGGCAGGCTGTAAACAAACTACTGCCAGCTGCTCCCTCTCTGTTGGACTTTGGTACTGCATGTTACTTCCGCGTTTGAGATCCGGGGCTTTTCACTAAACATCCGGGGCTTCAGCCCAAGTAGCCGGGCCTAACGCCGCCCCTGCTCTGCAACACTCTCGCACCTGCTTCACAATATCCAAGTGTAGTCCTTATAACAACTTTAAGATGTTAAATTTGAGGACTTTTATTTAATATCTTTATGGCTTTTCTTACTGCTCTTCTCCTGGCTTTTATCTCACTCACTCTGCTCACTCACACTGTTTTCTGCGACTTCACACACAATCCTCACTCTACTTTTAAATAGGCACATTATGTCATTTGACTAAAATTGTGAATCCAGTCGACAATCATAACCATTTCTGAATTTTCTCCGGCTGAGGTGGCTGATTTACTTGGCAGTCAGCCCTTTTCTCCTCCACGCTCCTCTAACAGATGATTCAGAACACAAACACACTAATTGCTGCTCCTATGGGCTCCTGGTTCAGATACATGCAAACACAAACTGAATGCATGCTAAAGAGAAGACTAAGACTGAATGAATACACCTTAATTTGAGCATGCATTTGCCCATTTTAGGACCCCTTTGTGTACGTTTGTAAAACCAAAATCTATCATCTTGCGGCGTGTTTGTCTTTTTAACACCTCAGTGATAAATGATAAATGACCCGCACTTGTATAGTGCCTCTCAGAGTAAGGACTCCAAAGTGCTTTACACTACAGTACATCATTCATCCATTCACACACACATTCACACACTGATAGTGATGAGCTACGATATAGCCACAGCTGCCCTGCGGCGCGCTGACAGAGGCGAGGCTGCCGAGCACAGGCGCCACCGGTCCCTCTGACCACCACCAGCAGGCAAGGTGGGTTAAATGTCTTGCCCAAGGACACAACAGCAGAATTCTCTGTCCGGAGCCAGGATCGAACCTGCAACCTTCTGATTACTGGACAACCCGCTCAACCTGTTGAGCTACTGCTGCCCCAATCTAAACTAACAGCTGAAATGTCTCACCAGCCTTCCTACGTGTCTACAGGAGTGATTCATCACTAAATGAAACACATCAGCTGTGTTCATGATCTAAAACATGCAGAAAACGTGCTGCAACCAGACTGCAGCGCCAGGTATGTTCAGTCTAAAACAGCAGCTAGTCTGAAGTTGCAAGTGGAATATTATGGCCACAGGGGCGATAGGTGCTGTGGCCTTTCATTAACACTGAAAAAGGTCATTTTATCACACACTGGCTCAAGAAAATCATTTTCAAATATGAAAAAGTTGCTAAGTATCCCTTCAAAGTCGCTATTACTAAAGTCCCAACACTGAAAAACATGGTGGAATTCCCCCACAGTGACGTAATTCACTGAGCGCCATAAAAAACAGCTTTTTCTGGTCATTGAACACCTCATTTTGCATCATGCAGCAGCTCTTATGACGCCACACTTCGACAATAAAAAACATTTGCTGATGCTAATGTGGGCGAATTTTGGTGCTGAACACGAGTTGTTTGTTCTTTCTGGAAATGTAGAAATTGAATTAAAAAGTCTTGGTGAGAATCTGAAATCACGGCCAGCTTTAGGTTTAGTTAAAACTTAATTTACCTGGTTAGTGTGACTCTTCTTAGCTGGTCTGGCAATTCTTAGTCAGCATCTTTTGTAGAATTTGACATTTTCAAGCAAAGAAAAACACATCTAATAAAGACATACACACTCATACACACACACAGCTGCCTGGCCCTTTCCTAAGTGAGCAAAATAAAATATTCTGGGCGTATGAACAATTCTTCACACACAGAGAACACAACAGCAGGCACAGACTAAGTAACCATGAAATAAAAAAGCATGAATTGGATTTTCAAAATTTCATTCGTCAGGGTGACTCTGTGTGGTTTATTTGATGTTGACTCACCGGATCGTTAAAACGCTTTAAAAAAAGACGTTTCTGATCAGATTTTGGCTTTCAGTAGTCACATCAGTCACCGAACTGACTGACAGAGGAACCAGCTGAATGTAGACATGATTAACCTTCAAGCCTATTGACTGATACAGTCGCCAACTGGCTTCATGAGAGTTAAAAGAGCTAACTTACAGCCGATTGAATGGTTTTCAGCTGATTTAGGAGGGTGCTGGATGACAGGATTATAGCCCGGGGAGCAAAGCTGACAAACAATCGGACTCTCGCTCCTTTTGTCACCTCAGGCTCTGAAACGATAGCAGCCAAACTCTGCCAAATGGAGGCTGGTGTGAAAATAATCAAAAGGAAACAGAGTGAGATGAGAGAGGGCAAGGGGAGAGGGAAAAGCGCCACAGAAAGAATGTTTAACTTGCTGCTGCCGGGGTTCTCTCTGCAAACATTTATACAATCACATTTGTGGAGAAACAAACATGAAAAAAAAAATAAAACAATGTTTCTCTTTTTTACTGTGCCTGTCCAAAGGAACAGGATCATTTAAGCCCCAGCATCCTAACTG